ATAGATAGATAGATAGAGATAGATAGATAGAGATAGATAGATAGATAGATAGATAGATAGATAGATAGATAGATAGATAGATAGATAGATAGATATTCAGCAGGGATATTTGTAGGTTTAAATCCCTGACTTTAGATGGGCAGATGCACATCAGCCCAAAGTACAAAAAGAAAAAAAAGGAAAGGCAGGCTATAAATAAGTATTCACAATTTTTTTTTCATCTTTTACTCCACTTGGGGCATGTTTGTATGGCATCTTTTCCACCCTGAAGTTATTCTAAACCATTTTGATGCAGCTGGCTGCAAAATGCTCTGAATATCTCCTTCTGTCATGTCTCCGAATGATGAAAAACTGGAATCTAGGGAGAGTCAATCTCTGCTTTGGAGGAGAAGAGAGTGCAAAAATTGGCATTCCGAAAGTGCAACCAGAGGAGACTGCAAAAATTGGCATTCAGTGAATGCTGTGCCATCTGAGCTGGTGTATATCCTCAGATAACAAGAATGCCCCAAGTTTCATTTCCTTAAAGTAAAAAAATTCTAGTTCTCTGACCTCTCTAAATTACTTGTCCAGGTCAAATGCAGAGCTTTCAGGATTTCAAAACAAACCTGCCAAATGAGTTATCCCTAATGCACAAGTGTCCGGGCACCAGACTTCACTATCCAAGTCCAGAGAAGATAAGAGAAAGGAAGAGCTACAGACTTTACCTCCAAAATTTCCTACCCTGTGTTTGCACAAATCTCTTTGCCTCATTTCCACATATGGCTGTTATTTTTCTTATTCTTTTTATAGCTTCTCTACTACACCTATTGGAGCCCTGCAGGTAGAACCTGTTTTGTTAAAAATGCAGGGCAAAGTGATTCTAAGACACCTACCTACCCTACTTCCTTGTCTTTATTGTTGGTATAGAATGAATTGCAATGTAATAGATAAAAGGAATAACCTTGAGTAACAAAATTAAAGTCTGCAACAGGCAATTTAGGAGCAAGACTCTAACTGCAAGATTCTGTTACTATAGCCTTAAAATAAAAGTAGAATTAGTTTGGGTGTCTCTGGCTTCCAACTTTGATGAACCTTGGAAGGATGAATGCCTCAGGAACACCTTGATATTGCTTTGTTGAATTAAAAAAAACTATGTGTGTGTGTGTGTGTGGTGTGTGTGTGTGTGTGGTATTTGTGCATATATATATAATGCAATATAAACAACATACTAGCAATAGCACTTAGGCTTGTATACCATTTCAAAGTGCTTTACAGCATTCTAAGCAGTTTACATAGAGTCAGCATATTGCCCCTAACAATCTGGGTCCTCATTTTTACTGATCTCAGAAGGATGAAAGGCCGAATCAACCTGTCAGGATGGAACTCCTGGCAGTAGGCAGAGTCAGACTACAATACTGTGCCTGTGGTTGCTGGTGGCCAAAGAGGAATAAGAAGATTCAAGGAATGAGAAGCACATCTGTTTTGGGATGGGAAGGAGAAAAGGATTAAGTTTCTGTAGTCTAGCAATTGGTTGACAGGGCAAGGCAAGACATTCTTTCAATCAGCAGATTATCCCCAAGTTCCACCAGCCTTTGCAGAAGAAACTTCTGCTTGTTCCAGTTTCAGATGAGTGGCACATAGCCAGAAAAAAGCTAATTAAACTCTTCAAACTAGCCAACACCATCTGATTAAGCAACTCCAGAGCCGACTTTGCACTGGGACAAACTCACAATGCAGCAATGCCTCCATGCTAAACCAGACACTATCTCCCCTGCTCCTTTTTGTTGCATGATTTTACTTAATTTGTCCCTAGCCATGAGTGAACAGCCAAGTATTGTTTCTTTCTTTAAGGTGTATTATCCTATTATAGGTTCAAGATGTCTAAAATTTGTAATGGTGTTTGTACCTGTGATCTTGGAGGTAAAGTCAGGTGCTGTATTGTGAGTGTAAACAGAACCCTCCCCCCCTCCCTCCCTCCCTCCCTTCCTTCCTTCCTTCCGTCCCTCCGTCCCTCCCTCCGCTTAACTCCAAGTCTATTCTGGAAGTGTGGGCAAGCCACCTTTCTCATCAGCTAGCCTTCAGTGTAGCCAACTATGTGTCCTCTTTGTTAACATCATGTTTCCTGAGTTTCTTTCAGACCCTTTATCCCACCCACTATATTCTTGAAACCATATTCTCCTCAGCAAAGCAAAAAAAAAAAAAAAAAAAAGGAGACTCTTCCCTGCTATTTTATCTGAAGATGAAGAGGGGACATATTAGCATAATTTTGCATTATCAGTGCTTTGAAATTGCATCTGAGAAAGTCATTATAGTATCTTTAGCTGTAGCAGACCCATTTTGATTCAGTGCAGTATCTGGAAGATAGTAAGAAATGTCACATTATGAGTCCATTGCTTCTTTGCAAGTTTCCTTGTTATTTCTCCTCTGATCCCCAAAGGAGACCAGCATCAAGTCAGTTTCAACTATTGATTTATAGTACTTCGATCATTGCACATTTGTGGGACAGGCTGACTCTATTTTGGCCTGGGTACCTTTTCTCCTTTTAAAATTCCATCATAGACAACCATGCAACTGTTCCAAGTTTTGATAATACTGAAAATTGTGACTTGTGACTGCTCTTTGCAATTATGACCATCGCAGTGTCCATGTAATGTGATTTGAGCATTTGGCAACCATTACACATTTATGATGGTTGTCATGTCCCACCGTCATGTAATTATCACTTGTAACTCCATATGGTTTCCAACAAGCAAAGTCAATGGAGAAGCTGTCGGAAGTTGCAAGTCACAGTCACATGATTTCTTGCTTAATGACTGTGGGGTGATTCACTTAACAATCGGGACTGCTGGAACTGTCATTGCTAAGTGGGGTGATAACATGATGTTTCACTTAACTACTGCTTCATCTCGCAACATAGTTGTTATAATAATAATGATTGGGGTCATTAAGCAAAGACTACCTGTATTTTAGTTAGGAGATGCCAAATGAGAAATATTAGAAGATGTTGACAAATCAGAGTAGAGAATCCCAGAGAGAATTAGGTCAGATTTCACACTGCATTGTCCCCTCAATGTTTTCCACATTAACTGATTACATTTATTCATTCCTTTATTTATTCCAAGCATTTATATAGCCTGCTGTTACTTGAAGTAGAGCAAGAAAGGAATCATATGGATGAGCACTAAATTTTAAGGTGTTATTGTTTTGTGTTGTCTCAAGTTGGTTTGATAGGACTTCACCTCAACTGATGAATGGGGAAAATCCATAAAACCATTGCTTTGGAAGGGGACATTTAAGCCATTGAATCCATTGTATGGGGTTTAGTCTGCATTATTATACAGACAGCTGTCCAGTTTGAACACAACCAGTGAAAGGAAAGTTATCACATCTC